ACCTTTCCTGAGTATTGACCATTCAACACTCTAAAGTAGTATAATATTTATAAATCTCATTTCCATAAAAATATTGTTATTAAACAATTAGAAAACATATTTGCACTATAATCAAAGTAGTACCCCATAACCCCTTATAAAACACATTTAATCTTTTAAAACATGTAATGCATGATAACTAGTAATATTTATTCAAAAATAGCTAAAACAAAGTAATAAGAAATATAAATTCTCCTGTTACCTCAACCCTTTGGTACCAAAAGGGTTCCCCTTGTACAAAATAGGGCTCGGCTTGTTCCTTACTTCTCAATAAGTTCCACCAACAATTTTCTACAACATATAAGTGATCCACATCACTTATCATGACAAATAGCATTAATGAAGACTATAACTCATACCACACAACTTGGGTCTATGAGTCATAATCCACCCTAATGGTCCATATATTAAACCAACCATTCACATAGTATCACTTAACCACCAAAACCATTTATTAGCCATCACTAGGCTAATTTTCAATTTATATAATTTTTTTATCAATTAAGAACCTTCACTTAGTGTCACCAACTTTCACTATTAGCCCTTATAATGAAAACCAAACCTTAATTTAAATCTTATTGGGCTCAAATAGCAAAATTATAACTAAATCAATAAGCTTAAACCATTGAAAAGCAAAAACCCAATTTCTCAAGGTTTATTTTGTGCCCAAAACACCTCTTTTCATCCAATTATCCACTCAAAACATTAGATCACTATATAGAAACTCAAAACATGCTCCCTAGGATCCAAAGAAACAAAAGCTTACAAGAATATAGCCTTTGGGATCAAAATCTAAAAATTCCTCTTCCAAAAATTGAAGAAAATCAAGAGAAAGAGAAGAGGATTGAAGTAAGGAGTTTACCTATCGTGTAGCCGAGCTCGCAACGGTCGCAAAGACTCCTAGATCCGAGCCTAACTCCCTCTCTTTCTCCTTTCTTCTTCCTCTCTCTCTCTCTCTCACGTGTTTCCTTTCTTTCCTTGTTTTCTTTTCTGCGTTTCTGGTTGGTTTTTCTCTTATAAAAGCTGATCTAAAAGTTTGGGAAAATTACAAGAAATGGCCCAACATTTTTTATTATTGCACAAAAGCCCGGGTCAACTTTGGTAATTTTTTCTATAGTTAAAAATCAAATAAAACCAAACTTTTGCTTAGTAAAATTCAAACTCTGGGCCTCTATTAAATTATTCTAAATTTTAATTTAATTATAGATATTTTATTTTATTTTTATTTATTTTTTTAAATAAATTTGAATCTTAAAATTTTTAGGATGTTACATTTTCCATGTAGTTAATGGACGGAAACCATCCATAAAACCTTGAATGGTTTTACAGTTAATTAATAATACTCTACTCTAATCTAATTTATAACATAATCACACTTATTTTAAGAATAAATGTTATAATTTAATATGTCATCAATTCAAATATAGGGAGACAATTACACTCAAGGACCGACATAGATATCCTTAATTTCTTAACTAATTATTATATATCAAAATTAATTTAGAGGATTGTATTACTATTCTTTTCACTTAAAACAAACCCCAAGTGGTCATCCAAGTTAGTTACTGGCGAAAAGAAAGTGTAATCCAAGTTAGTTATAGCCCATCTACGTTCAAGGATAAGGGAAAACAGAAATCGGAAAAATATGAAGAGAAGAGATATTGATGTAAAATAAATATAAATAAATATGTGTGTGTGTGTGTGTGTAATATGAAGACGTAAATATTAGACATACAGTTAATTTTTATGTTAATTTTTCTTTATCTTTCCCTGAGTAGTAAATGGTTATACAAACGTATGCCTATTAGTCTCAAATATGATATTGCAATTTTATTACTAATATAATATCATAATAAAAAATATTTTTTTGAAAAAAACATATATTATACTCCTTCCATTAAAAAATATAAGGTACTTTTTGAGGAGTTGGATGTTTAAAAATGTAAGGCATTTTTAGTTTTTGAGGTGTAATCAATGCTTTTTTTTTTCAAAAGTACCCCTATTGATAATGGTTTTATATTTATTGTAGGGTGTTTAATAGGGATAAATATAAAAAGATATGGTTAGTTGAAAAGTAGGTACCTACTTTATTGGAAGGTGAGATTCAGTTAAAAATGTTTATATTTTTGAATGGAGAGAGTATAAAATTTCAAAAACAATAGTTGAATTAAAAAACAAACAGGTGAACTTTTGATTAAAAAGTAACTTAATTTAATTAAATTTCAAGAAAAATTAATGTAACGTAATTTGATTAAATAAAAACTGGACTAAGCGTTTGCACTTTGCATTTTCCTTGAACTGCTGAAAATAAGTTGCATCATTTACAACTTGAAAAAAAAAAAGTTTATTTATATAAAATAATAAAATGAGTGAAAATGTTAAAAAGGAGCAAAACTTCACAAAGGAGTTTAATAATGAAACATGTACTATCAAATTAATATGCATGCATTATTTATTTATTTAACAGTACTAAAATTGATTACCAAATATTCTTTAAAAAAAATATGTGCAACAATAATACAACACATGTATATATCTAAGAGGAACCTGTCTTTCATTTCATTTCAACGAAGAAACTTTCACATAACGACATGCATGCATGCATGCAAAAGCAATCACCAAAACTTGGTTGATACATATATATGATTTATATTGTATTCTAAACAACATATAATCATAAATTTTAATTTGTCAAAAATCAAATACAATCTTTTTTTCTTTTTCACAACCCCTTTTTTCTTGATCTTTCCTCCATGAAGCAAATTCCTCTCATATATATTTGGATTAATTACTACTGCATGTAAATGGCCCACAACAAAGTAATCATAATTGCTAAGCCCATGTTGATCCCGGCGTTGGCCGTAACCCCACTATCGGCCACCGGACCCGGTGCCGGAGATGGTACCGGTGCCGTTGTAGTCAATGGAGCCGGCGATGTTACTGGCTCGGGAGAACTTACTGGCACCGGAGGCCTTACCGGCACCGGGGACCTCACTGGAACTGGCGATATTACTGGCACCGGAGACTTCACTGAAACCGGTGATATCACTGGCACTGGTGTCCTCACCGGAACTGGTGATATTACAGGCACCGGCGACCTCACTGGAACGGGTACCGGCACTGGCGTCTTCACCGGAACTGGTGATATTACAGGCACAGGCGATCTCACTGGAACTGGTGATACTACTGGCGCTGGCGATTTCACTGGTACAGGTGTTACTACTGGCGTTATGACTGGTACCGGAGATTCGACCGGAGCTGGTTTGGGGGATGACGAAGGTGGAGGAGAGGTGCTAAATAGAGTGGACGGCATAATGACGGTGCTGATTTGGACGACGGAGAGATTGTAGGGTTCAGATGCAACAGATTTAACCAAATTAGCACCAATAACAGTGCCAGATTGATCGGAAGGCGAAGTGAAGGTGACGGCTCCAGTGTTCATACCGGTGATGTTGACAAACCCTACTTGGCCGGAAGCTAGGCCGGTGGTCTGATACAAAGTGGTGACGACAACAGATTTGCCGTTAAGGTTTTGGAGTTTCTGGACGTCATAGTAGTCAAGCAGGACATGGATGCTGACGACTTTCTTGATGACATCCATGGACTTGCCGGAGAGAGGAGAAATGCCAGAGTTGTCGACAACGAGGACGGTGACAGGTTGGCGGCTGTCGATGTCGGCGGCGAGCTGAGTCTGAGCAATGTAGTTGCTGAAAGTGGAGAAGGAAGGGTATTGAGAGAGGACTTGAGAGATGTTGAAGGAAGAAGAGAGAGAAGAGAAGTGAATTAAGAAGAGAGAGAGAAGGAGAAAAACTGAGATCGACATTGCTGAAGCAGAAAAAAATTAACGATTGAGAATAATTAATTTACAGAGAGGCACAGAGAGAGGGAAAGAGAAGTGTTATATTTATAGGTATAAGCATGCGCGAGTGTGATGAGAAGAAGGAGCTTGAGAGTCTATTTCTGTAGCAAGTGAGAAAGCGCCAAGTTTTGAGGATAGGTTTGTGGATGGAAAATGACAAGGCTTGGTCCACGCTTATCAAATTTGACCATATATACCGATTTAAACTCTCGTCTCTAATTTTAGATATATATATATATATATATAACACAAAATATTTTGATCAATATTATTGTTGAAATCTCATGATGGCATTTCTGTTATATGTACATGTGTGTGTCATTCATTATTGTATGATACAAATTTACTCATATGTATATTTCAAAAAATTGTACAAGTAAACATATCTGCCTTCAAAGACATGCCTGCAGACTAAATTAATTTGATTTAAAAGATTTAAGATACTAAAGTGAAAGCAAAAAAAAAATATTATTATTTTTTCTTTTTAATTATAAAAGTGGAAACTAACAACTTAAAATTACAAATGGTGTAAAATTCGCTATTTTCCATTTATAAAGAAGTTTTATGCCATTGTATAAGCACCAAATGCTTTACTTCTTTTTTAATGTTCTGAGGCATACAAAATTTAATTTTTAATTTCTTTAGAAATATCACTGATAAAAAAATGGAAAATTTTATTTAAAATGATTAAATTAAGAAACATTCATAAGAATCAAATTTACAAGAGTCTATCTGCTTAAGCTTTTAACATTTGAGATCTTTAGAAATAAATAATCTGTTAATTTAGTCCTAGTAAATATTTTTTTTTAAAAATTATTCATGGCAGAAATTAAAATTTCCTAAAGTAATGATGAAATTGCATTAATATTTTAAAAGCAATAGTTGAAATTACAAATTACGAATCGCGTACAAGTGCATTTTTCGAAAATACCAGTATATCAAAAGAACCCTGCTCTCCGTCAGAATAAAACTACTTCCAACTTGGAAAACGGAACGGGCCATGTACTCCGTTTGTTCAGTGCTAATTATAAAACTATTTCGTACTTGATGAAATTCTGCTCTGTCAGGATAAAAATAGTCACTAATGCCCCAAAATTTTCACTTCCCCTCAAATTATCTCAATAATTATTAGTGTATGTTGTCTAGCAATCTTAATAATAATCCAATGTATAAAATTAAAAGAAAGGGTATGACAAAAATAAACAAGGTTGATTCCAAAGCTCGCAGGATGAGCCAAAATACGAAACATATATCAAGAGAAACAGAAACAGTACTGAACCAACAAGAACAAAATTTCGAGGCTTGCGATAATGAGGAATTGGAATTGTGCTTTTGTTCATCAGGGAGCAACTGAAGAGAGAGATTGAAACAATTTATACATGAATGAACTTCAGCAATAACTTCTGCAGGATCAACTTTTGATTCCTTTATGCAAAGCCTCATGTCAGTATTCTTCATCAAACTGCAATATAACAACAATAGTAGTCCCATTAAGTGAGGTAGATCTATCAACAATCAAAATTTTGGATATATTGTCAGCCAAAAGATCTTGTTTAATAATAACTTACATTTTATTCTGTGCCCGTTTTTTTGCAAGACTCAAAACTATATATTTCACTCTCCTAATATCTTTTACACAGTCTGTCCATACACGTCCAAATCATTATAAATGATTTTCGATTATCTTTTTCTCAATGGTTATCATGCCCACTACTTTTACATTCGTTTATGCTCATTATAGATTTTACTTTTTTATGTATGCCCACATATCCTTCAGACTACAATAGTCATGGACAAATTAGAACGTGATTTTTTTCCCAGATGTTTTTTTTAACACCTTCAAATAAAATATAAAAACGTTTGGATAGGATCAAACATTTTGTGAAAATTAAATATTTTCTAAAAAATGCTAAAAATAAAAGACGTTTTAAAAAATTCGTGACACTTTTGTGATTCAGTATATATTTTAACAGCATGATCATATGATCAAACTTATATATAACATGGATGAATTAATGGACAATAATGGCACCAAAGAATATGGCAAGGAGGAGGTAAGTATATAGTATTATGGATACTGGTGATAGAAGCTTAACCAGACGACCAAGTGACATCAATTATTCCTGGATGACTAGTCAGTGCTGGGCAGCATGCTCTGTCGGCTGCAAATTCACAGATATAAGAATTTGAAATACATGTTTAAATACTGAACAACAGTGGAGCAAATCTACAACCAAGATATTAAAAAAAGATAAAGGAATCATACTCGAACCTATAGAACTAATAGCAATAATTTCCTTACATTAAAATTTAAAAGATTTTGTTTTTAAAGTGATGAAAAGCAAAGTGATAAATGTAAAGGCAGAGAAGCTGCATCATCTCATTTCCATAAGATCTTTAAGAATGAGGTGTTTTTTCTGATTCAATTGGTATATGATTCTTATCGAATTTATTATTAATCAATAACATATTTTTACTTGTACAAAATATATAATTTAATGAATAAATTCCCTAACAGTGTGAAGACTTTCATCTGACAACAAGAGATGTAAATCAACCACCATTAATACCCAAGACAAATGCACAAATAAGAAAAAGGTAAAAAGATATTTGCCACATGCTTGTATGAGAAATTAATTTGGATTAGAACTGCTAGATTTGTGGGTGATTCACTTTGGTGCAAACCTAAACTACAAATTAAACCTTCATGCTGTGATTATTTTGCAGTAAATTTGACGATGGGCCACCCTTAAGAAAACTTTGCCTTTGTTTGGAATGGGAAGAAAATAGAGAGGTAGAAAATTAGGAGATAAAGTTAAAGGAAAAAAGACATTTTCCACCCTTGTTTTCCCCTAATTTCTCCCTAGAGAGGGGAGAAAACTAAAGGAAAACTTTTATGCTAGCAAGGGAAAATGTCTTTTTCTCCCACTTCTTTTCCTTCAGTTTTCCCTCCTCCCTATTTTCTTTCCATTCCAAAAGAAGGTTTAGCCTTTAAGAAAGGTGGGTAAGCCAAATCAGAGTCATCAGTTACCTTTTCTGAGTCCACATTTTCAGATGTAACCTTAAATCGTCCTCTCTGGTGAACAACTGGTACCTTTGCTTTGTCGTCATTGTCATCAGAAGTAGATACTGCAAGAATAGATTGATTAATCCAGAGGGAAGGAGCCACCTGGCAGGCTTTCAGAGCTCAGCCAGTATTATGTTAATCATTAAAGCGAACTGTTTGCGATGGTCCCCTGAAGTTGACAAGTAACGTACATGAACAAAGAAGAAACGTAAGCATGTACCTGACGATTTTGAAGCTTTAGAAGAAAGGTCAGAATGCGTATCATCCCTTGATAGGGGAACTGTAGTTGCATTGTTGTTTAAGTTGTTCTGGGGCTGATGTTGCGGCTTCTCCCTATCATTTGTTCATTGACATTAATGCATGCAGTGGATCATAGATAAAATATGACAATGCGGGTTCAACAGATGAAATAAGATATCTTAGTTAAAAAATTTGAATGTTTTGCTTGGAAAATTACAATAACAATCATGGAAAAAGATAGAAACAAGAAAAGTTCATGCTTCAAATTTGTATCTTTTGTTTGGAAAATCAGTAAGCCTAATAAAGAATTGGTAATAATATTTTGGCTTTCTACTTTATTTATTAAACCGGGCATTTATTTACGTATTTCTTTACCAGTTGAATGATAACCAAATTGTTTCTCTTGGGTAAATCAAAAGATAAGTTCTACCAGATAACAGGAAGAAATAGAAAATTTGAATGAATACTACTACCCATTTTCAGAATGAGCAGGCTTGTAAATCACCACCAGAGTGCCAAGTTATTCCATGATGGCAAAAGCTATGAGTAAATACTACAAGCCATATGTATATATACCTTTCTCCCTGGATAAATGGAGGTGTAACTTGGTCGGAGATGCTCATTGAAAATCTACCATGAAGGGAATGAATAGCTGTGGCCTCTACAGATCTCCCACTATTTTCCCTACCAGATTTTTCATTCATGTTATGATCAACCTGATTATCAAGAGGGGATGAGGAGTGCTGGGAGACGTGCTGCCTATGGCTTGAACTGGTGATGCTAGAATCATGATCCTCACATTTTGACCTAGAATGGCAAAACATGACAGTAATCGGATGAGATTGATCAATCCTTTTTTGGTGAATGGTGCAGTAGGTTATGTCCTCTAAATCAAAAGGAAATTTCCCAAACAACTCAGAAACAAGCATCAGCCTACAAATTTTTGCTCTCAAAAGCTCCCACATTATGAGTAACAGGGGAAAACAGAAACTAGATTTAAGAGTGCATGCTAGAAAACACACTCGGTGCAATTTAGTGTGGAACCAACTGTGGGACCAGAAGTTGATAGATTTTGAACCTCATCATTGTTGACCTGTGGAGCAGTGGGCAACGAACCATTAGAAACTACTCAAATGAAAAAAATTAAAATTGTTTCTCCATTATTGATGGAAAAGTTCAAATAAAAAAAAAAGAATTTATTGTCATACAGTACATGTGCTCCTATTGTACAGATAATGAATTGTAAATACCATATCTGCAATTTGACAAGGATCCTGGTTTTGACGTGATGATGGCTTATTACGTTCATCTTGTGTAGAAAAGGAATTTGAACATCCTGTATGAGAGATATCATCTATGGGGTCGTCAGAATCCTGGATCTACAAAAACAAATGAAAGTATAGTTAGGAATTCTATTGCTCCAAGAGCTACATGTGCATTGTGAGGGACAAAAGATTCTGCATCTTGCACACCAAGGAAGCCTGGGCCTTCATATCATCAAGATTGAAGTTCCAGCCACTAATTCCTCGTTTGTATTCATCCTGCGGAGGATCAAAACAACCATGTTAACGGATTGTAGGGTAACCAGTATCAAACAAGAATAAGAAACCAAAAAGAAGGAGAAAACCAAAGCTATGTAATCTAATTCATTTATAGCTCCAGCTTTTCAAAGTAAAAGTAACACACACGTTAGTTCTGGTTGAATTTGCCTGGCCTTGACCAAAACACAAGCATGAGTAGGCTTTTTAGATATGTCAGTAGTCTATGCCTAGCATTTTCAACTGAACACAGATGCTAGCTTTTTCTCACCCAAAAAAAAAACCGGGGGGGGGGGGGGTTTGTTGGGGGGGGGGGAAGCTGAAAAGTTGTTAACAGGAAGATACAGCACCAGTTGAATTTAAGGAGTGCATGAAAAATAATCTAACACACACACACACACACACATTTTAAACTGCATAACTTAATGGTGACAATAGGGGCTCAGCAATTAGGAATAAGCTTCATCTACCTGAGATATTTCTTCCATTCGCCCATGAGGCATTTTCTCTTGAGCAAGCATGTCTTCTTCTTTAATCTGCAATAGAAAAGTCACTCTATGAATATATTTTCTATAATTACAGGGGACAAAAGAGAAGTCATTTTGATAATTTGGAACCTTTAGGGCTTTCATACGATCACCTAAAGCAGGCAGACCCTCCAAAAGTTTTCGTGAAATATAATCATTTGAGCGAGCCTGCCTAAAGAAGGAATGCTTCAACAACTTTTTGGCAGTTGGTCGTTTTGAAGGATCTTTCACTAAACAACTAGCAATCATCTGTTTAAATGACTGAGAACAGAGAAGAAAGATTGTGAAAATAAGAAAGAATTCAAGGATACTTATTTGTTGAAAATATAGAAATAAGAAGTGTTAATATATATCCTTGAGAACTGACATGAGAGAACTTCTTATCCCTTTCATAATCAAGGCCAGGCGGTGCTTGTTGCAATGTCATCAACAGTACCTGTTTATGTAAAAGATTGCATCATAATTGACTCCTGGCAACGCCCATTATGGTTTGAGAAGATAACATCCATACCTTCATTGGTGGATACTTAGAGAAAGGAGCATGACCATGGGCAAGCTCCAACGCAGTTATGCCAAATGACCAGATATCAGCCCTGCAAATAGGGAAAGCCATTTTCAACTGCATATTAAGATCAGGCTTTCCATAGAGGAAGTGAAAAAAGATATTGCCCTATAAAAATATACTCACTTGAAGTCATAACCATGTAGTTGCTCCATGACCTCAGGTGCCATCCTGGAACAAAAGTATTAAACTAAATTATATGTTATTCAACAAGCAACAAGTAAAAAATGAGTAAATAACACAAATCTACCTACAAGTTTTGCTGAAATTGTTTAGACTTCCCCTTATAAAAATTGCACCACTCTTTAGTTCAATTTAGATGTTTTGACTGTAAGTACCCTTCATTAATCTTAATACTCAATTTTTGTAGTTAAATTCAATCAAAGAACATTTTTCTTCATTTTTTTTGGGTGCATATTTGGATATAAATTCATATTTCTATGTTTAGGTCACAGGCATTTTGGACCAAAAAAAAAATTAAAACTGGACTAATGTGTATATTTCTAAAATACAATAGAAGTTTTATAATTTGAGTAGATGGTCCGTATAATTTATTTTGAAAAGAAAGAACAGCTATTGAAGATGTTTACTGGCTAATTGACTGCCTTTCCTAATTCATAAAGACATCTAAAAGTGCACCAAGTTCCTCAAAAATGTAAAAACAATTTTAAATTACATATCAACATTTTAAAGAGGAATAGAACATGATATGACCATTAGATCAATGTTCACTGTAAGGGGGAAACTTTAAACTTACCAGCAGGGTGTCCCCACAAATGTTTTCCGTGTGCGTTGCCTGTCACCAGAATCAAAAAGACAAGCAGCTACACCCAAATCTCCAAGCTTGATTGCCCCGTGGTTATCAATTAGAATGTTCCCAGCCTATAGGACATTATATCACATGAAGGGAAGGAATGTGAGACTATATACCTGCAAATTTTTATGAAGTATGAAATTACTGTTGAAGTATTAAAAACAACAGAGTCATCAGTACTTACTTTGATATCTCGATGTATATGCCCATGCTGATGAAGATATTCTAAACCCTTTAAAACCTCTCGCAATATTGTGGCTATTATAACCTCCTCTAAACCATCAGGGTAAGCAGCTTTCAAGATGTGAAGACAGGAACCGCCAGCCATATATGGCATAACAACCCACAGATTATGATCACTAACGAATGAGCAGTGTGATTTAAGGACATTAGGGTGGTCAATTAGGTTCATTGTGTGCGCTTCCCGAGAAATGTTATTCTGCAAAAAGGGAAAAAATGAACAAAGGCATGTGTTATACAGCAATTTAGAAGTTAGTAGTAGGCAAATAAACATATAAGAAACTTGAAGCCATGCAAGACAAAAAATGTCTAATGCCCAGGTCCCAGAGTACACACAAAATTAATAGGAAACCTTTTAACTATTGTTCAATTGCTAACGATTTTTAATTTAATTGTAAGAGAGATGTTACTCAGATCAAATAAGATTGTCATTCTTATAATGTTCTTGTTTTTTTCTGGTGATATAAGCGACTCAATGCTTTCTTCATCTCATTCAATACTGAAAGCTAAAGCTTGAGTAAGGACGAGAATAAAGATCTCGTTCTCTGGATTTCTTGTTCATCCTTTTTTGCAGTTTCAAAAGCTTCAGCAACACGTTGGACATGGTACGCGTGTTCGTAACTTTCTCCAACCAACTAGAACAGGATCCAGAAAAAACTTTTCTGACTACTTAAGTTGCTGTATGGCCAGCCACAGCCTTCCTTCTCTAAAATTGTTGCAGTAAAAACACCAATTGCTTTTTCCATAGTCCGTATTCCAACTTTATGCTTTTTATTCATTCAATCATTCATTAAACAATGGACTAATTTCACCAGTGCAACTGATTTCTAACAAAAATAAGTTAGTAAATAAATTAAGCAATACTCATCATGATGAATGAATAAGAATGAGTTACCAGATTAGCATTGTCGCGTTCAAAATCGAGAATTTTGATGGCAACAGTCTCATTTAACTGTTTACAAAGAGCACGGTGTACCGTGGCACTCACGCCATGGCCAATCTCCTCGTAGAGTTCATAATGCTCGGAACCAATTGGATACTTCTTCTTCTCCACCTCCACAACGTGATGCTTCTTCTTCATCTTTCCTTCAAATCCAAAAGCGATGCAAAAAACAAGATTGAAAAGAGAGTGATCACACTTTAGCTAAAAGGTAAAAATCTTAAAACCAGAAGCAAAAATTTCATTCTCCAACGAGAAAAAGCAGAACGAAGGATTAAAAAAAAAACGCTCAAGGGAAGAAAGATAGAGAGGAGAGAGAAAAAGCATTGGTGAGTGAATACGGAGAGATGAGGATGCGCGGGTTGAGGTTATCGCCGACGTCTCAAGCCCAGATTTCTCGTGAAGATGCACATACGCAACAGAATTGGGGGAGAAACTTCTTCATGAATTAATTTAATTTAATTTTTATTTTATTTATTTCTCAGAAAACTTTCCGTTACGCGGATATCTGATAATCAAGATAGAGAAGAGAGATCGGAGAAACAGGGGACGGTGAGCTCAGTTTATAGTTAACGTGTTTGCTGGCAAGCTCAACGAACGGGCACGTGGCTTTCACGCTCTCTGATTGGTCAACACTGCAAATCTTACTTTGGTCAAATTTCTGTTGTATTTATCAAACTGAAGATTTCCAAGTTTTTCATAGAGTTTATGGGAGATTCACGTTTAATTACTACTCAAATAAATTATTCATAAATAAAAATTAATTACCTTTTCATTTTAATAATAATCTATGTTATATTAATTATTATTTGTAAATAATTTTTAAGTGATTCTTAAATGTAATTTTTTTAAATTTTTGTGTCACTAATTTTGGATTACTTCTATACTTATCTAACATTTTTCTGTTAATTTTATACTTTACAAGTCACCTCTTAAAAAATAATTGATATTATCATTAATCACTTTCTTCTATTTTTTTTTACAAGTGAATAAAAAGTTACTATGAAAAAAAAATATTTTTAAAGATAACAAGGGTAAGTTGTGAATTAGAGAAAATAATGATAAAATTCCTCTAAGTTATATAAATGATAATCTAACTCTCTCAAAATGTTATAATATCATTAAAATACTTAGAGACTTTTTTATTAATAAATTTTAAAGTAAAAAATCCACTCCACTCCTATTGAAAATGACAAGATCTAATTATAATTTTGCTTAAAAAATAAGAACTTTTATTTTATAAATTGAAAAATAACTTGTTAAGTGTAATTTTTATTATTAAAAAATAAGCTTTAATCACAATTTTCATAAAAAAATAACAACTTTTATTTTGTAAATTACAATAATTAAATAAGAAATCACAACTTTATCAATAAGGACAAAATGACCTTTTTAATTTAAAATTTATTGACACGAAAGTTTTTAAAAATTTTAATGAAATTATAACATATTAAGGGACTATATTATTATTTATATAATTCAAAGGATTTTATTATTATTTTTTCCTGTAAAATTGTGTCTTTATTTTCAAACAGCTTTAACAATTTATTTAACTACTTATTCTTGTTTTTAATATAAGACAAAGTCAATTAATTTTATACTTATAAGAAATGTTAGTTACAACTTTAAAATTATATCAATATATATATATATATATAACTTTACAATTTTATCCTTTTTGGCAATTAATAATCATAATAAGTTGTTGTTTAAAAACTCAAATGACAATTAATGAATAGGGAGTAAAATTAAAAAAATATTAATTATTTTGAATTATCTTATATTAAGAAAAAATTTTAAACTTCATCTTACATTAAGAATTAAAGGAAGTACCTTTCATTAATTTCAATAAGTAGCTAGAGATAACTTATATATAGAAAGATCAAAGGCCGAGGGGAAATCTTACTTTCTGATGTACTTAATTAATATTTTTTTAGAGGATTATTTGAATCCCACTAGATCTTTATTGGAGGACCTTTTTAGCAATTTTTTTTTTCATTTACAAGACTTAAGTTCACCATGGTTAAACATATCGACTATCAAAATTGCTTTATTTTTCTTTTTAGAGATATCAGGTAAGATGGTACATTATCTCCCTATCTTTATATATTGTCTTCTAATGTTTTATTATTGCTAATCATCCAGTAAGAGGGGAAACAAAATTGGAAAGGTATTAGCATTTTTAGGAAAGGAAAGCCTATCTCTCATCTTTTTTATATATGCAGATGATTTAATTCTCTTTTTCTAATGCACAAGAAATAGTTTGGAATAGATTAAGTCTGTTTTAGAAAAATTCTGTTGTTACCAGGCATAACATTAACAATCAGAAATTTTATACTATCTTTAGTCCCAATGTTAATGAAGTTGACAAAGAAAATTGGGCTAAACTTTTTGGTGTTCTAATCTCAAAAAAAGTAGGGAAACATCTAGGTACTTGGATTGATTTGGGAAAACAGAAACTCTACAACCAATTGTTTGAAGCCATTGATAAAATATTATCTTCCTAAAAAGTACACCTTCTTTGGCAAAACTTCAAGGTATCATATCTGCTACTAACATCTATCAATTATTGTGTTAAACTACCTTATCACATTTGTAAGAAAATTGATACTGGATGCATTGATTTCTTTTGGGGAATAGATTCAAAAGATAATAAACCAATGCACCTTACAAATAAAGACACTTTTTTTAAACCTATTGAATATAGAGGACTTGGTTTAAGACTGACCCACCTTATGAATAAAAAGCCTTACTTGCAAATTGGATTTGAAAATTGATAGATGCATCTCAAGATTCTATACTCTTTGACACTTTAAGGTTTAAATTCATCAATGTGGATTGTCCTTCTTTAGTCAGGAAGCACTATAACACATCTTGGATTTGAAAAGGAATTCTTGGATGCTCTAACTTAACCACTTCAACTTAAAATCAAGAGTTGGCAATGGGCAACAAATCAACCTCAATAATCCTTTTTGAAAGCTTAGTTTTCTTAGTCTAGGAACTGAATTATGGCCACCCAAGAAAATCTTGGGCTTTATTATCACTTTCTCTGTACCATGACATCCTTTAAAGTGGAACAAAAACTATATTGCTAGGATTTATAATTTTACTGATTTGCATCAAATTCTTCTCTCTCCAATTTTGACTCATGATCAACAAGATAAACTAACTTCGCTAGGCAACTCCCTTGGGTAATTGTCTTGTCAAAAAAGTTTCTTACAAGCATTGATACAAGAATTTCTTTTGATAATCTATTTCCTCTTCCTTGAAAACTGGATCTATCCAGGAAATTCCTTTCATTCACATGGGAGGTATTTACCAAGGCCATTTTTAGCAAGCGATGTTTTAAAGCTTCATCGTTTGCAAAACAACACCAAGTTTGTTTTTGGTTGTGATGATGATGAATATATTAGTCATGTTTTTGTTACTTGCCCTTTTTTTCCAAGTAATTTGGTTTGGAGCTTTATTAGTCACAATTGATGAATTGTTGCTTGAAAATAATTTTCAAAATATTATGATTGTCCTATTGTCTCTTTTTAAAGATAATCAAATCAAATTAACATCGTCAAGCAAATCATCATTTTGATTTCACTTATTTGGAGGGAGATAGAGAAAACTCCACCTATGTTTATAGCCGGTCTCAAGCCCGGGTAAAGGAGAAGGGTTGTATTAGGCCATCAACTGTCAATGTAAAACTCTGTTGAATCTATTATGAACATGGACAATAGACGTTATGATGTTAATGCTAGGTCGTTGCCCATAAGTAACGCGCTGCATGGCTTGAGTACAGTAATAAGTGAGTTAGAGTCGCTGCATCAGCGTCCAGATGTAGTGTTAAATGAGCAAGGACTACCGCGTCATTCTTGACGTGTGCGGCTAAAAAAGTTAGTCCATGAGAGCAAAATTAGATTTGGTACTTGAAATGTTAGGACATTGAATTGTAAACCTATAGAGGTTGTAGGGGTTATGAGTCAAAGGAAAATTAAGATCCTTTGCCTGCAAGAAACAAAATGGCATGGAGAAGAAGCTAAGGATATTCAAGGTTTTCAAACTTTGGTATACAGGAAAAGTAAGCGCATGCAATGGAGTAGGCATCATTATTTATAAAGAGTGGAAGAAGAATGTTGTAGAAGTTAACAGAATTGGAGAGAAAATTATTTCCTTAAAAATGATAATTGGATGTGAGACTGTTAATATTGTTAGTTCTTATGTGTCTCAAGTCGGGACAAAAGTCAGTCTTAAGGAATTATTTTGGGAGGATCTAGAGGGGTTGATTCGACAAATACCATAGAGTGAAAAGATTTTTATTGGAGGAGACTTTAATGGGTATGTTGGGAGGGAGGCTGGTCAGTATGCGAGGGTGCATGATAGTTTTGGTTTTAGAGAGCTAAACAATGAAGGACAAACTCTTCTTAATTTCTCATTGGTGTATGATTTTAAGATTGCCAACATTTGTTTCAAGAAGAGAGATGAACATCTCATCACTTACAAAAGTGGAGCCTCAAGGTCACAGATTGATTTTCTTTTGGTTAGGAACACAGATAGAAGACTCTGTAAAAATTGAAAGGTGATTCCCGGAGATGCTGTAATGACACAACATAGGGTCCTAGTCCTTGATGTGTGTATTATGAGTAAAATTCAAAAACGTTGACAAGTAGTAGCACCAAGGATTAGGTGGTGGCAATTAAAAAGTGAGAAGCAAGATATTTTCAAGCGGAATCTTTTGGACAAAGGAATTTTGAAATCTCAAGGTAATGCTAACATCATATGGGAGGATATGGTTAAAAAGATACAAGAGGTTGCAAAAGTAGTTTTGGGAGAATCAAAAGGTTTTGGTCCGAGAAATAAGGAGTCTTGGTGGTGGAATAATAGTATACAGGACAAAATCAAGCATAAGAAGAACTGTTTTAAAGCCATATATTTGTGTAACAATGAGGAAAATTGGGAAAGGTACCATATGGCTAAGAAGGAGACTAAAAGAACTGTGGGTGAAGCTCGTTTTAAAGCTTTTAAAGAATTTTATAAGAGCCTTGAGACGAAGGAAGGAGAACGAAACATTTATAAGGTTGCTAAGAGTAGGGAAAAAAATCAAGAGATCTAAAACAGGTAAGGTGTATTAAGGATGAAGAGGGAAGAATTTTAGTTACAAATAATGAAATTAATAATAGATGGGAGACTTACTTTTCCAAACTTTTCAATGATGGAGAGGGTTCATCTAGTAACTTGAAGGATTTAGTAACTGGTAAAGGAGAACAAAATTTGTCATTCTATCAAATAATATGTGATAAGGAGATAAAGGAAGCTCTCAAGAAAATGGCAAATGAT